AATTAAGCAAGTATGTGTGTAAGTAATTTACTTTTATTTCAATTAAACCAATAATTCTCAATTAAGGGCAGTTTTGTTCCTAGAGAGTATATATCAATGTCTGGAGAAATATTTTATTAGCATGACTGTGGGTGTACTGTTGAGATCGAATGAGTAAAGGATAGGAATAAAGCTGGATTTCATTTGCTACAGTGTGCATGACAGTCCCAAAAGTAAAGAATTTCACAGACAAAGGTGTTAATAGTTTTCTGATTGGTAAATCCTGCCATTAAACAAGTAAAGATTCACCAAGTATTCATTTCTCCATGTAATACTTATATTATTTACTATTTCCTTGAGAATTCAATAGGATGTGTTTTGGACATACTCACTCTCACTCCCACAACTACTTCCATATTCACACCTCCTTTTCTTACCAGGCAAATCTGTGCCCTGTTTCCTCCCTCATCATGATCAGTGTGTGCTACCATGTGGTCCTTCTTTGGAGCACATTCATCTCACCAGGGTTAGACTGTTAGGGAAAAGTAATCCTTACTCTCCTAGCACCCAGCAATTGTCAATCATTTCCCAGCTCGGCACGGAAATGCATGCCCAGCTCCCCTCACCATTCTGGAATTTGGTGGGGCTTGGGCTTGCACAGGTATTTTCCATCAGTGCATATCTGTCTGTAGACTTAAACAATTTAATTGCTTTTGGGGGGGGGTGTTGTTGTTGTTGTTTGAGGCAGGATTGCTCTGCAGCTTTGGAGCCTGTCCTGGAACTCACTCCATAGACTACACTAGCCTCGAACTCACAAAGACCCACCTGTCTCTTCCTCCTGGGTACTGGGATTATAGGCATGCATCACCACCACCTTTAGTGTTTATTTTTAAACATAAAAATCGAATGAGTTCTTGAATTGTCATAAAGGTAATACATACATATGTATGCACACATGTGCCTTTATGATGATATATACTGTATATATTTAAGATACATATTCAAGGACTCAGTTTATTCAGGCTGTTTCCACTTACTTTATTTTTGCAAGGATTTATGGTATAAATGGTACCTACCCCCAAATCACTTTGGCCAATTCTTATCTTGAATATGACCCTGCATCTTTATTTATTCAGAAATAATAATAGTTTTGTCACAATGACATTTTTGTTGCATGAATATACATTGTTGCAATAATATACAGGTATATTAGAAGATAAGATCTGTTTCTTTCAGAATCATATGAGTCAAAATGGCCTGAAGTGACTTACATGTAGAGAAAGATTTCCTTCTTTGCCTTTGCATCTTATATGTTGGCTTATTTAAAAGCTCTACATGGATGTATTTGGGTTTATATAACATTAAACAGTATGCAGCTCTTCTGGGTAGAATCAATATGGATAAAATTGTGTGTATATGTAAATAATTTATGATAATTAATTTGTGATAAAAAATATGTTCGAGGGTTTATCGATAGTCAAGAATTCAGAGGTAAATGGGCTGCAGATGTGGAGTCGGTGGGTAGAATGCCTGCCTAACGTGCACAAAGAGCCTGGTATAATCTTCAGCACTGCTTAGTGGTTCATGTGGTGAGTTACAGCACTAGAGATATGGGAAAAAAGAGGCTTGGAGTTCACAGTCATCCTTGGTTATGTAGAAAATCCTGGCCAGCTTTTGCTACATGAGACCCTGTCTCAAAAACAAAAGGTGTTAATGGATATGTCATAGATGTCTTTAATGGTCTCATATATTCTGCGTAAAAATGTTTTTCAGAAAAAAAAATTGACATACAATTTACTTCCTAACTTTGAATATGCACCCTAACTGGAATAGAATTTATCCTGAGAATTATTTTTGTTCCATAGCAAATTGGCTTGTGGCTGAGGACTTAAATAAGTGAATAATTATTCAAGTAAGATTTTAGGAAACATAACAATGTCAGTTGTGTCAAAGAGGATTGAGCTGACCTTAAGCAGACTAATGAGCACAAGAAGCAATGAGAGACACAGAAAACTGGATGATCAAAACTGAGACGGAAAGACTGGTCATAGCCATATTTGTGAAACCATAAACAAACAGCCATTGCTGGTGTAGCCAGTGAGTTTGAACTGCTAAGAAGTGACCTAGTGGTGTGACAATTAGAAGAGTGAGTATCATGGGACAACCTTATAAAAAAGCTACACCATACCTACTAATAAGATAAACGTGCTGTGTCCAGAGATCAAAATATTATTCTCAATGAATATGTAAACTTAACAGAACGATCATCACTGCCCCACACATAGAGACTTTTGTACTACATAAAGCAAAAATCTGCCCTACATAGGCTATCTAAAGCTCCACTAAAATGACCATTAGCAAAGGCAAGCCAAATTTAGTCTCAGCACTGTGTGGCTTTTCCATCCCTAGTGACTACAAAGAAAACTAATGTCCTCGTTTCCAAAGAAAGGTGCTATATATAATTAAAGTCTTATTTCAATGACTCTAACCACTATCATAACAGATTTTGCTGTCAAAGAGAGAAAGAATTCCTCTTAGTCAATGAGTCTTGCAGAAGAAACAAATGAACAATCATTGTTGTTTGTTTCATCAGCATTTTTCAACACCAGTGTTCACCTTATTATTATACCAGAGAAGTAAAAAAGGAATATGCCTCCAAAAATATTTTTAATCCTGCCTTTTCCCCATCTGCAGTTTCATAACACTTTCTACTTGATAGGCTAACATCTTTCCTGACAGGATACTCAGAAATGACACCAAAGGCTTTATGATGGAGGTAAGAACTCTACTGCTTAATTCCCTTTAGTAGTTATTTATAATTAATGACTAACAGCTCCCCAAAGAGAGCTGATATGCTTTGAAACAAAGATTAACCTCATATATTCTTAAATTTATACATACTATCATCAAATAAATTTATGAAGCATGACTCATTGGATATCCATTAAAAAGGTTATAAATGCTCACTGTCCTCCAATGCATCCCTGTTCTGGGAGGAGGTCAACCACATCTAACAAATTCACATGAGGCCTCCAGAGGAAGCCTGTGGCTCTTCCAGGTGACTCCATGATGCGGTTTAGGATAAAACACCTTTTGAATTTGCAATTGTCTCCTTAGATGATTTCCAGTTCCACTGAATTGTCTAGCATGGTGTCATATGAACACCATAGTTGAAAAACACTCTAGAAAATAAGTCTGAAATAAAAGGAAGGAAGGAAATGAATACGGGAAATCAAGTCACACAATCTAACACCAATACAAGCCCAGAGCACTTGTACTAAGATTGTAGCAATTGCAGTGTCTTCTGCTAAACAGTGCTAACTGAATCATGAATGAAGCTCTTAATTAACTCCAGTATCTAGGTAAAATACAAGGGTCTTAATTCAGACTTTTGTGAACTAGGTCATTCTGTGTTTTTCAATGTCATCATTGTCTAATGCACTTCTTGGAGAACAACCCAGGCACAGCTCACAGGACTGGTTCATGTTTGGAATTGCTATGCCTACAACAGGAAGGGTAATCTATGAAGATTTCAACCCAGGCAGAAAGTTACCACTGCAAATATTGTGGGTGATGATTGACAGGCCAGATTCTAGAATATGGAGGAAAGGGGGAAAATTCCAATTGCAGTTTAATATCTTTGCTTTTACAGCTGCTTTCTTCTTCTGCTAATAAGAAAGTAATTTTTCTTAAAACCCCTCAATTTCTTGAAAGTAACCAGGCACAGCCAAGAGCAGATACCAGATTTTCAAGTAATATTTGTTGACTAAATCTTTTACCCATTCATTTTATATGCGATATATATCAGAGGGTGCCCAGAAATTGGTTAGAAAGAAGTAATTTTCATCCACGGTCATGAAAAAAGGGTGTTTGTTCAGTCATCAAGGAAATAGAAGCTTCTAAATGTCTCAGAAGAAGCATTTGTGCTGATCTCTAGGCCTGGGTGTCTTTTATGTGACCTAGGAAACTTTTTTCAGTTGCATCCAATATTAACTAATAAAAGTCCTGGAGCTGAAGTGATGGCTCTGCAGTTAAGAGCACATCATACTCTTGCAGAAGACCTGGGCTTGATTCTCAGGACCCACATGATATGCCTCCCAACCACCTGTAACTCCAGTGCCTTCATTCACCACAAACACATAATGAACTTTTTATTTAATTTGCATTTAAATTCATAGGAGGGGTCTGGGAAGATGACTCAGTGGTAGAAGTACCCAATGTTCAAGCAAGAGAACCAGAGTTTGGTGCAGGTCCTCAGAACCTACTTAAATGCTAGGTGAACATGAAGACCCACCTATGGTCTAGCATTGGGAGAAGGAGACGTGAGATCTTTAAGACTAGCTGGCCAGTGAGATAGGACTCATTGGGGAGCTCTGGGTATGACTGAGAGATTCCACCTCAAAAGAATAAGGATAGAGAACTATCAAAAGCATTCCTGAACTCAACTTTAAGCCCTCACCAGCACACGTATGCACATGCATCAGCATACATATGTAAACACAAGCATCCATAAGAAAGAGAAAAATAACAGAAAGAAAACCTATATAAATTGGTAATGAGCATATTATCACCACTATTTTTTTAAAAGTAGATAGTGTTTGATGTCATCTGGAATTCAATACATTAGCACAATAATCCATTTCAAAGGACTGTGGATGAGTTAGCCAAGCACACACATTGATATTAGAGATTCAGGTGACAGCTTTTGCTCTTGACAACTTAGGATGACTGAGCATACAGGAAGAAAATATCGTGTGGATACAGCATTACATCTGCAACTCTTCAGGCAAATAGAATAGATAATGAATATATTTTGTTCAGAATAGCAATAAACTCAGTCTTTATTCAAGTGTAAACAGGGATGAATATATCCTCTAAGTTGCTAGTAAGAAAAACAAAAAACAAAAACCACTACTTTGAAGAATAGAGTATACATTTAGTATCAATAATTTACATAGAAATCCACTTGAACCACGGGTGGAAATAAAAGCAACTATTCTGTTTCTTTCTCTTAACATTAGGTCATGGAACAAAAGGAGTATTTGAGCTTCTATCTGGATGGCGGAGAACCAAAGAGAACTTACCCTTCAAGGACAGGGTAGCAGATGCCTATTCTGATGTGATGGTCACCTACACCATGACCAGCTCCCTGTACTTCATCACGTTTGGTATGGGTGCCAGCCCCTTCACAAACATAGAGGCAGTGAAGATCTTCTGTCAGAATATGTGTGTCTCTATTCTATTGAACTACTTCTACATTTTCTCTTTCTTTGGCTCTTGCCTGGTCTTTGCTGGACAACTAGAACAAAATCGATACCACAGCATCTTTTGCTGTAAGATCCCTTCTGCAGAATACCTGGACCGCAAACCTGTGTGGTTCCAGACAGTAATGAGTGATGGGCACCAACAGACATCCCATCATGAGACAAACCCCTACCAGCACCATTTCATTCAGCACTTCCTCCGAGAACATTACAACGAATGGATTACCAATATCTATGTGAAGCCATTTGTGGTCATCCTGTATCTCATTTATGCCTCCTTCTCCTTCATGGGGTGCTTGCAGATTAGTGATGGAGCTAGCATCATCAATCTACTAGCCAGCAACTCCCCAAGTGTTTCCTATGCCATGGTTCAGCAAAAGTATTTCAGCAACTATAGTCCCGTGATAGGATTCTATGTCTATGAACCCCTTGAGTACTGGAACAGCAGTGTCCAGGAGGATCTGCAGAGGCTGTGTAGTGGGTTCACTGCGGTATCCTGGGTGGAACAATACTATCAGTTTCTGAAAGTCAGCAACATCAGTGCCAATAACAAGACTGACTTCATCAGTATCCTACAAAGCTCGTTTTTAAAAAAGCCAGAATTCCAACATTTTCGGAACGATATCATCTTCTCTAAGGCTGGGGATGAAAACAACATCATTGCTTCTCGCTTGTATCTGGTGGCCAGGACTAGCAGGGACAAGCAGAAGGAAGTCATAGAAGTTCTGGATAAGTTGAGGCCCCTGTCTCTCTCAAAAAGCATCCGGTTCATCGTGTTTAACCCTTCCTTTGTTTTCACAGACCATTACAGTTTGTCAGTCACTGTACCTGCCTTGATCGCAGGCTTTGGGGTACTCCTGGTGTTAATCCTGACTTTCATCCTAGTGATCCACCCTCTGGGAAACTTCTGGCTCATTCTTAGCGTCACCTCAATTGAGCTGGGTGTTCTGGGCTTAATGACCTTGTGGAATGTCGACCTGGATTGCATTTCTATCTTGTGCCTTATCTACACTTTAAATTTTGCCATTGACCACTGTGCACCACTGCTTTACACGTTTGTATTAGCAACTGAGCACACCAGGACCCAATGTATAAAACGCTCCCTGCAAGAGCATGGGACAGCCATTTTGCAAAACATGACTTCTTTTCTTATTGGGTTGGTCCCCCTCCTATTTGTGCCTTCAAACCTGACCTTCACACTGTTCAAATGCTTGCTGCTGAGCGGGGGTTGCACACTTCTGCATTGCTTTGTTATCTTACCTGTGTTCCTAACCTTTTTCCCTCCTTCCAAAAAGCACCACAAGAAAAAGAAACGTGCCAAGCGAAAGGAGAGAGAGGAAATTGAATGCATAGAAATTCAAGAGAACCCTGATCACGTCACCACAGTTTGAGGGTTGGAGGCCCTTTCATTTCCAGAGTTGCACAACGATGCAGGGCAAGTGAATCTCAGACCTCAGCTGCTTGGGCTGGCCGGTGGTAACAAGGCAAGTCAGATCAAGAGTGCATTATTCATGTCACATCCAAGGGTCCTTCTTCCTGTGGGGGGGGGGGGGGATAAAAGGAGGGAAAGTTCTTTGCAACCTTGTTCTCCCTGAGAGATAAAGTTCCAGACATTGATCTTAGAGCTTTGCCAAGGAACGGCTGGATCGTGTGTTAAGGCAGAAGGCTGGAAGACCTAAAGATTCAAAAGAAATACTTAGAAGAAATGAAGAAGATAGTAGGTGGTCTCCAGATAGATGGAAAGACATAGAAAGTGTCTGTCGAAATTGCTGTGTCACTTTTCATGTTTGTCTTTTGAACAGGTCAGCCAAAGGAAACCTATGCACATGGGAAGTACATATTTAATCCTGTCTAAACCAAAGGACCACCCGATCCATCTTTTGTGTACATATAAGGATACAGATACTTATATTTGTCTTTAGTGTATATTGGCGTTTAGGTGAAGGAAGGTGTCCATTTGCAGGTAGGCTGGCCTTTCTCTAGAAAATCAAATCAGCTTTAGCCTAATATATAAGCTCATTAGAGGTGATGCAAAACATAAATGGCCACTTAAAATCAATTCAACCATCTAGACAGCAAGATTATTTTCAACTGTGTGATAACAAAATAAACAGAAATTTGAATCCATTAAATTCTACATGTCATGTTGATGGTCGTTGAGATTCTAACTTTGGGATGACTTCACAAAAAAAGAAATCAAAACATATTTGAGCTAATCAGCATCTAGAGGAATGTCCAAAACCTAAAAATGGTTGAGATGGCTTATCATTGCCTTTAACATTTCTGTGTTTTTGGAAGGGCAGCATGGCTGCTTTTGGATACCTCACCCACCTGCAAATGAGCACTTTAAGCATATTGTCCTTGCATACATATGTAAGGGTACACGGTGTATGTGTGAGAAAGAGAATGAGTTAACATTCCACTGTTACACGTTCTTATTTTAGATGGTTAAAATACGCAACTGTGGCATATAGCAATTAACACAGGAGAAAGAAAAGACACTGGAAACTTGGAGAGTAAAACAGGCCAAAGCCATTTATCATTCCAGCATGAGAAAAACTTGCCAACTCTATAGACTATAGTATGTTCCTTGAAATAAATTTGGGGCATTAGCCCAGGCCATGACCATTATGACGGTAGTTATCATAATCCCTGCAGCATTGTTTTGTAGTGTCTTGCAGTTATCATTGTCTTGTTAACTAGAAAGTAAGCTCCTACAGCAAGTGTGGCTGTCTGTAAGGGCCGTACTTGCCATGTGTAATTGCTGCTGGATTCTTTATATTAAAAAAAAAAATACTAAGCCAAATGTTTCCATTGAGTTAGTGTCTAAGTCTGTGCCCCGGCCTGGTAAGGTCATTCATGTTGGAGAAAGTTACTAGAAAAGTCCTTTTCCATGCCAAGTAGGGACCTAAGAAGCAATTTAATTCCAGGTAGAATAAAACAAAAGCCCAACACTTATACAATCTGCTAACAAGCTCCTTTTCCTGAAGAAAGTTGGTATTCTCCACCAACTTGGGTTGTGTAATTTAATTGCATTAATAATATTAATAGCCTTAAATGGGAAAACATGACTAGAACTCTTAGAAAATTTATTATCTAAGTGAAGCAAGAGTTCTGCTCTGTAAACCATACAGATTTTAAAATAGACACCATTTAAATAACATTTCAGTTTATTGAATGACATTTGTTGTATTCTACCTTAAGTTCCATGTCTCCCTGACTGTGGGTGCAATAACTATAGAATTAAGTAGGGGACATAACTGCCTATAGCAACGCTTGATGGTTTCTCTTGATTTATCTATAAAATCATGTCACAGCTAAGGCCAGCCTTTCATATCATGAACTTCTGTGCTAGGGAGAACTGGCTTTCAGACAGTTAACATCCAGGCCATGATCTTATATTTGAAGTTAAATTTTCTGAGAATTCTTTGGAATTGGAGAACAGACTTCTTCCTTTGCAGCTGCACATCATTTATGAAGATTGCTTTCATCCTCACCTGTTCGCAAAGATGGCCACTAAGAAGCTGAGGGTTCCATGTCACTCCATTTCTGGCCATATTCAGTGATACTCCATTTGTTCACCTATTATTTATTTCAATTTAACTTATTTGAGTTTTAAATTTATGATAGATCATTTCAGATGCAAAAACAAACAAAACGATTGTCAAGCTAATTAGCAATCTTGCCAATTGCCAAATTTACGAGAGTATGGTCACATATTTTACCAACCCAACAATATTAATCTCTCCCAATGCACTTGGATGGTGAAAGACTTGTTTATGTATTAAGTAATGTCTTCAAGGATCAAATGTGCATGACAAATTAGAACTCCTCATTGTCCAACTGTCTAGAGAGGTGGCATTTTAGAAGCAAATTCCTCTTCTCCAGAACACCATGATTCTCTCTAAGGAATTGTAGCAATAATTTACTGAAGTGAAGCCCCATGTTCTGGAACAGTAAATACAACACCCAAAATGCTTTGACTTGGTCTTAGGAAGTAATGTCAGCCCAAAAGGATCTTGCCAAGCATCACAAAAACCTTCCAACCTCACTGTGAAGCAGATATTTCCAAAAATTCCTTCACTGAGTACCAAGATGCTCCCTAAAATATGAGACTTTGATTTGCAGGTAACCCTCCATCCTCAACCATGTCTGGTAGTTTGTATACTCCTCTCTCAAATTTTCCAAGTTTATGCTCATTTTGTCCATTTGTGAAGTATTGATGGCATTCAAGTTAGGAACTTATCTACTACCAAGCAGAGAACCATCTAAACCCTAGAAGAAATCAGTGGGAAATCTTTTAGGTTTGTGGAATATTTTATTTTATTGTGATGGAGTTTCCCTTAAAATGGGAGATTTTAATAAACTTGTGAATCCCACGCCTTTTCTTGTTCAAACTGGGCCGCGTCCCCATCAGAATGTGAAACAGAAAGTGTCCTATGTGTTCCACTCTCCTCAAAAAGATACCTAAAATATCAGACAAGATTTGTCTATATGTTCCATGGGCTAACCTATACCATGTGTAAGTCTGTTGAAGGAATGTGTACTTATTCAGTGTCCTATGGGTTCTTGCAGTGACCTCTTTGGAGGCTGTGCATGAATAGACTATGAGAGAGCTATTCTCATCTATGTTTGTGTTACACGAATGTTTTTCTCCATTTAATGTTGGTCTCCATTTGATTTACACAGAAATAAATTCACTTGTTTTATCTTATGTGGTGAAAGGAAGTATTGTGACACAAGCAGCTCCTATGATGCTGTAATAGCCATTCTTGTATGTTGAACTTGAGTGTAACAGCTATGTCCATTTTGTAATTATTCATTACACTTCACCATAGCAAGCTAATTCTTCTAGACTTATGACTACAGCTGGGTATTAACTATTGGCATTCAGAATTTGTGTGTATTTTTATACATATAAATATTGTCATTAAAGTCAGATATTTTTATGACCAAATAATTATAAATGCATGGAAAAATGCATGCATGGTTACTAATAGTATGTAGATTATTGAAAACACTATTTTCAGGGTTGTTACACATTTTATTAAACTTCTCATATCCCCTTTCATAAATTTCTCCTAGGATTTTGGTCACAAAGGCCTAAAGTCCACAGAAAATTTCATACTAAGGGAAGCAATCAGAAAATTGCTTTCTCATAATGTCAACCTGTGCTAAGATGGCCACTGGGAAATCCTAGTGGCTAAGTCTGGTGTATTGGGTAAAGGACCAGGCAGAATCTGTATTAGCCAATAGTTAAACATATTTACATGCCCTGTTTCATACTAAGGTCACAGTAAACCAGAAGCTTTGGCACCTTAAGAATGGAATTATGATGTTATCTCCTGGGACTGCAGCATTCTGTGAGTTACTCACTCTTTTCTGGGTGGGGGGAGTCTAAGTTCAACCAGTTTTGTTGCTGTTTGCCCAGTGTTTCAAAGATGACACTGAAAGCTCTCATTTACTTCAAGGGAATTTAGAGATCACTTTTTAAAAACAACAAAATTCTTGCTCTTCCTGTTACATAAAATAATCAATAACGAACAGTCATGACAAAGTTTTATGGCATCAAATCAGAGCATCTAGAGCTTAATTCGTATGCCATTTGAAGTCTCCCCATCTCAAATCCAAGCACAAAATTCCACATCATCTCTGTAACACAGGCCCTTATGCCAGCCTTTTTCAGCAATGATATGCAGGTACACCACAAAAAAATTACATTTTCATTTATAGTCCTTCCTTTAAAAATGACTGCAGTGGTGATCACCAAAATGAAAGGTCTTTGCATGACGTTCAGCAAGCAGGTACCACACACAAATGTATCCATACTTACATTTCTGTATCAGATGACCAACGTTCATCTATGTTGTGTTGTAGACAGAAGGGAAGAAGGTAGGGCTCTGTGTCCAAATGTTTTGGAATTTTGGTGGATGACATTTCAGTGAGATTGGAAGATACTGAAAGATGAACAAGGCTACATCTAAGAAATCGAGATAGTGTGTGGGTATGATAGGAAGATTGACATCACTAAAGTCCTTACACACTAGACTTTACTGGTTAAAAAACAGCACAGAGGATCAGATGGTGCCTCGACACTCTGTTCTTAACTGTTAGCAAACCTAGCACTGGATCCTGCTGGAAGATCGTGCTCTTGTTTGTAAGATTCAGACGCTAAGCCTGCTTCTGGATTTCTAAGCATGGCCAGACTTTGTAGACTCTCTAGTGCATGAGAGCAAGAAGTTGAAGGACTCTGGAAAGAGGCATCAAATAAACACCCAGGGAAATATTCATCTTCAGGATGCTGTAATACATATAATGATATTGACCATTTTTATGCATTTAACAAGGGCCTCTCTCCATTGTTAATAAAGACGTCACTTGCTTTTCTTGTGAAATGGAAAACAATTCAAAGAAAGAAATATATGGAACCAGTATTTGCAGTGTATGTAGCTATTGTATTGACTGTATCTTAGCTTTTTCTACATCCTTAAAGAGGTTGCCAAGATAATAGAACCTTGGACTATCCTGAAACCTCTGCCAGATAGGTATTTT